CGGCCTCAGAGGCGCGTTGGCTTACGCAGTAATCACCCATGCGTGGTTGATGGTATATGTGGTCTCTCTACAACGTTGCCAGGAACCGACCAATATACAAGTGCGACGACGGAGCGCGATCACCGGGAAGCTGCAGGCCTGCCTTAAGAAGATCATCAATCAATCGATGACGCCAGCGGGTGAAGTTGACCTGCACAGCGACTCCGGTTATCGACGCCTAAGTGGAGATGCCGACGACGAGGTCAAAGGCTACGGTATTCGCGGGGGAAACCTGCTACGGCGTGGAACCACGCCAGCCGGTTAGCCTGTCGTCCACTTGATCGATGCGCACTGCAAGTCTCACCGCTTGCAGGTCCGCTCAAGCTATTTAGCAGAAACACTTGTAGCAGCCCGCAACTTGGAGGACTGCCATCCCACGATTGTGACTTTGCACGAGCTCCATGCAGGTCCGTTGGCCCCCACTCAGCTGAAAGACATACTTGAGTTGGGTGGCCTGAGCATTAAGGTCACCCTGACCACAGATGCTGACTCTGTTTTTCAAGTCCTTGTCAAGCAAGGACCTGAAGAAGCCGACGGAGTGTACTCTTTTCGGACACATCAGTTGGATACGACAGATGATGGAGCGAGGAATCGTGCATAGCATTAAGTGGTGTGACACTCGCGACATGACCGCGGATGGTCACGCAAAAGGGAGCAATGATTGAGATATGCTCCTACAGGTCATGGGAGGTACGCAATCCTTCAAACATGACTTACAGCGTCATACTCCTTATCGGGCTGGCCAGACAACTTGGTCTGTGGCCGCCTGAGGAGCAATCGCATGCACAGCAATGCGTTTGCAAGGCAACTTGCTTGCGGGTCCGCCTTACGGCCCCGCTTTTTGCTGCCTTTTGTACATCGTATCTGCTGTATAGTGGCGGCGGACTCACGCTTCGTCTCCCTTTCCCCCCCGACTCTAAAGTGAGCTGGGACAAGGGCGAGAGGTAGCGAGCGTTTGTCCGCGGCCGTTTGTGCTCAAGCGGCCGGCCGCCAACATTTGACTGTGCCTCATTGCGAGGCATGCGAGTCGCCATCGAGACCGAAAACATCCATCGCTTGAGATGGCCCGTCGCTCCCGCGACGACCTCCAACGATTGAGACTATCGCTACTACGATACAACAGAGCAGGAGCTGTGCTTCACCTACGGCGTAGCTCCTGGACGGGCCTACCGGCCCCCTTCAAACTGGGCGATGACTAGGAAACGTTCAAAACCACTCACGCCCTGAAGAGCTGGCGGGATTTCAAGCTTCGAGATCATACATGTGAGGAAAGTTCAGACGAATCGCCCGGCCCGCCTGAACCACACGGCTTGTGGTTTTCAAGGATGGAGAAGGAGACAGAGGAGGAGGAGGAGGAGGAGGAAGAGGAGGAGGAGGAAGAGGAGGAGGAGGAGGAAGAGGAGGAAGAGGAGGAGGACGAGGAGGAGGAGGAGGAGGACGAGGCGGAGGAGGAGGAAAAAGAATAATAATAATAATAATAATAATGAAAATGATAAGAATAATAATAACCAGAAGAAGAAAAAGACGAATAATAAGAATAAGAAGAAGAAGAGGAATAAGAGGAATAATAAAAATAAGAAGAATAATAATACGAATAAGAAGAATAATAAGAATAACCAGGAGAGGAGAGGAAGAGGAGGAGGAGGAGGAGGAGGAGGAGGAGGAGGAGGAGGACGGGGAAGGGGGAGAAGGGAGGGATGGAGGGAGGGGGAGGGAGGGATATAGAGAGAGAGAGGGAGACACTTATCTTGATATTCCGGCCTCGTCCTCCGCAGCGGGGGCGATAGTTTTTGACGAAGCGACCAGGAGCCAAAACCAATCTTTGGCTTGACCACCACGAGCAAGTTGCCGTCATACGAGCGACTTAAATCTTACAGTGGGAAGGAAAGGGGGGGCACGACTCTTACGCGCAGCGCATGTCGGGCGCGAGGAGGTAGGGGGTTCCGGGCGAGACTCCCCCGGAGTGGGGGGTTCAAAACAGAGCACCAGGGGCGCGGGCTGGGGGGAAGGGGGCGTCGGTGCTGGGCGCAGTGGGCCCAGGGACAGAGATCTCGGGGGGGGGGGTTTAAACGAGACGCCAGGGGACGTTGCGTGCAACGGGCGAGAGGTCATTCAGAGAACAAGCAATGACACAAACATGAAAATTCTGAGGTCTGCGCAGATTTCTCGGACTGGCGCTGGAGCCCCCTGGCGGCGCCTCCAGCGCCGCCCCCTGGCGCGCGCGCTCCGCGCGCCAGGGAGGGGGTCCAGCTCGGATCCGAGAAATCTGCTCTGACCTCCGAGTTGTTATTTGTATGTCATTGTTTGTTCCCCTATCATTGCTGGGGGGGGCGGGGGGGGGATCGGTTTGGTTCGGGGGAAATAGGAACGTCGATCATCCTGTAGGACGGTCGACGTTCCTATCCTTAAGGGCTTCGCCCCCTGCCGCCAGCCCCCCTCTCTTAGAATGGGACTTGCCAGAGCTGTGTTGCACGTAATTTACGAGGGTTGATGGCCTCGGGGACGCGAACGTTGTGTAATCTACGAAAGTGTATGGCGTTGGGGACAACCATTGCGTAAATTACGAGGGCTTATGGCCTCGGGTACGCAATTCTCGCGCAACTGACGAGTGGTTATGATTTCGGGGACGCGAAAACTGTGTAATTTAGAAGGTTGATGGCCTCGGCGACGCGAATATGGTGTAATTTATTAAGGATTATGGCCTAGGGAATCTCATGTACTCTTACGTGTCCCACGCCCGCCCAGCAATTCAGACAACGCGATCTGGGCGTGGTAAAAAGGCTGGTTTGGGGCTCCCCCCCCTCGCGCGTTCAGCAACAATTTACAGCAGGAAGCAGAAAGCAGGACTGTAACACTGGAGACTTGAAACTGGAACTGGTGCAGGGAGCATGAAAGCCTGATCTTCGCAGCCTGATGGCCCCGTAAGGGGTCCGGCGGATTTTCGGGGACGTCTCACCCCTCCGACTTTGGGGTCGGGGTCGGCTCCTGGGTCCCCGAAAATGAGGGGGCGGGACGTCTTCTAGAATCTGGGAGTTCGCCGGCGGAAGACGTGAGGAGGGTCGGGGGGTTCCCGAGGGGCCACGGTCCCGAGGCGGGAGTCTATCCGCAACCATCGCCTGGGGGACCGATCTTTCGAGTAGGGGATCGACTACAGAATTGATTTACCCCCGAAGTATTTGTTCGTCGGACCTAACAGGTACGGAGCATTTTCGCAGACTCGACAATAATCATACGTATTTGTTGGTAGATTCGCCCTACCAAAAAATCTGGGGTAATTCAATTTTTGTAGTCGATCCCATACTCGAATCTTCGGGGACCTCGACAGGCGGTGAATATGGAAATATTCGGGACTCCTGGGGCCCAAATACATCCAGATAGACCGCCCGCTGGGGTCCCAGGACGTCGGTTTCCAGGGCGGTGGATATGGATATATCCCCGCCTCGCCCAAGGTTGGAGTTCTGCCGCACGCTGCCGGTGTCCGCGGATATTGGCGCCACGCATGGAGGAGGGCGCCATGAACACGGCGGTGCCGAGGGGGGCGAGGCCCAGGTGAGCAGCGTTCGAAAAAGAGGGCGGTGTTGCGGACATCCGCGCGTATGCTGGCCGCGTAAAGTCGCGCGTGGGTGTCTTCTTGTCTCTTCAAGTCCGACCTCTTCACAGTCCTCCAGCTCCAACCACCAGCTGCTTGTGACGAAGCTGCGCCTCGGCGCCTCCGCGATGGAGTTCATGTTCTAAGTGGCTCCCGCCTCTTTTTGCCTTTCCCGCCCCCTCCTTCGCTTTCTGTGCCTCAGTTCGTTCCTGGCGCTTCCCGCACGTAGCTTCGCCGCGCTTGCGCCCGCTGATTAAAAGTTTTCTTCTTTTCCGCGTGGTGTTCCGCATCGGCGGCCTGCGTCAGCCACGCATACGCAAATATGATCCTGCTCCGTTTAGTCCTCCTCTAGCGCTACGCGGCCAACTCCACATACAGCAGGCAGATAAGTGGCCGCGCGGGAAGGCTTCCCAGGCCGACCCGCTCTACCACCAGTGTCGCCTCAAAATCCGCAAGCCCAATCGGCCCCTTTGGCGCCCCGTCTCTCGCAGAGCCATGCTGCTTCCGTGGCGTGGGTTCCTCTCCCCATGGCCGATGTCTCATCCCTCCGAGGGTCCCCAGGCTTGGAACGGACCTCCAGTGGGCCAAGCTGAGGGACAACGAGCCGTCACGATTTTCCGGGACGCCAGAGGGAACGTCGCCACGTCTTCTCGCAGAAGGCCTTTTCCTTCCTCATCCTCCTCCTCCTCCTCCTCCTCGTGCTCCTCTTCCTTCTCCTCCTCTTCTCCTCCTCCTCCTCCTTTTCCGCCTTCTCCTCCTCCTCCTCCTCTTTCTCCTACTCCTCTACCTCCTCCTACTATTCCTCCAGCTGCTCATAAATCGCCCCCGAACCTCTCTCCAAGGGTGTGTTTCGATCATAATGTTGTAAGGTGGATCCAGCTGTGGCGACAAGCTCTTGGCAGGTTCAACAAAGTGCGAACATAGTTAACACGCCAGAAGTCCAGACCATCTTCCCAGGTCAGGCTTTTCGTCCTGAGTCTTTTTTTGACGGCACCGAGGCCCAGTGAGGACCCCCAGGGGCCAAAAGTAGAGAAAACCTCCGTCGTGTTTTTTTCAAGACTCGAGGGGGCAAGTCAGGACGCTTCGCCCCTGCTTGAGATATGTCGGCAAGCCAGGACGATCCGCGGCCCGATTGCACATATAGTACATTCCATGGTACTTTGCGCGCGCGTCGAGCAAGCCACAGCCAACTCCAAACGAGGAGGCCACGACGCGCGAAGTGCGTGCCGTATTGAAGAAGCAGGGCCAGCGAAATTCGCCAGCGTTGATTCGAGGGGGCTGGGGTTGGCGTAGGGCCCCCCACCCCCTCTGGCCCGCCCGCGAGCACCCACGCGCGAGCGCCCCCGCGCGAGCGCCCCCGCGACCCGGGCAGGTGGCACTCCCCGACGTGGAGGCCACGGAGGCCCTCGGCGCGGCGCTGGCGCACGAGGCCTTGCGCGCCCCCTCCTCCCCCCCCCCCTGACTTCTGGGGCAGGGCCCACGTCGACCCCATCGATCGTCCTCATCGTCGTCCTCCTCCTCCTCCTCCTCCTCCTCCTCCTCCTCCTCCTCCCCCCTCCTCCCTCCTCGTGCGCCATGGATTTCCTTGAGCACTGGTGCGACCGCACATCGGAATTGTGCCGAACGTTGCAGTCAAGAAGTGGTCCTGATGATCCACGTGGGAGAAATACGTTGCTCACATTTCAATATTGCTATGGTGAGCTCGTACAAGGGCGGCGCAATCCGCAACCACTTCCAGACCTCAGCGTTTGGTTTTGACTGGTAGGTCACCTCTTCTCCGTCCTCGGTCTTCGTGCATGCCTGTCCGCACATCAGTTTGTGTCCCTTGGTAACGATGAACACATCAAACGGACGGTAATCTGATGGCCCCAGGGCGAAAGCAATGATAGCAGAAAACAATTCAGTAAAGGCAGCGGCACGGAAGACGAGCAGACGCAGGTAAGCAGGTGCCCTTGACGACCAAAGCCTGCCAAACGCACGGTAGGCCCGTGGTCAAGTCTCCGTAGTTTTTCTGTTGCTGAACTGGCAGCGTAGTGCAAGTGTGAGCCAAACTACCAAGCATCACGAGCCACTTTTCCAACACTCGTAGTGCCGTGCGTTGCCATCTCGTCCGCTAATTTTCGGACCGCGAGGACCGATCCTGTCTTTGTTGCCGTCGTGCAGGAGAAAACCTCGCACGCTGTGCCGTCTGATTAAGTTCGCTGTTAATTGCGCTGGCATGGGCCTGAAGAGCAACAGGCGATGGTGCAGCAACGCGGCGCGCTGTGTCATCAACGTATGTCGTGGTGGCCTTATCAACGGGATTGCCTGTCTCGACATATTCACACACGAACCATCCATCTTCTGGTCTAACACGCTACCGCCAAGGACCTACAACATCAGCCCAAAATACACAATTGAATATGTCTGATGCAAGATATGACTCAGGAAAAGCACCATCACCCGGGACAACATGCAACACGTGATTTCCGACCGCAAACGAATTGGTTGCCCTCTCGTGGTGTTGTTGCAACAAGTGGCGGTTAAGCAAGTCAGGGCTGAAATCGACGATGCGGTTAAAGGCTTCTCTGCGGATGGAGGGGAACGCATTCACAGCGTCGTACAACTCCAACGCATTGCACACATACAACGCTCGAGCACGCCAACACCGTCTGTTTTGGATGGCGAAGGCCTCTTCGCGGGACCGACGTTTTATGCAGTCAAAAGCATACCCCAGAACAGAGGTAAAAGGATGACGGCGCCAAACCGCTGCATACACGGGGGATCTTTTATTATTTTTGACCAAAAGACGTCAAGCTTTGGACCCCCCCGACCCCGCGACGGATTTTCGGTCAGGGAGCGGTCCGAACCCGATGGGCTCGTACCCCATAACCTTATATCCGGAGAGGTGTGATAAATACTCCGTCCCATACAGAACAGGCCCGGAAATCACTCGAATCCGGACCCACTCACAGCTCAATCACTCCGCATGGGTCATTTAAGATTGTCAGCGTCATTTTCGTCATCGTCGACGCTCCATTGCATGCGTTTTCGCTTTGACGCGGCGTGGCCCTCGGAATCCTTAATGCGGGCATTTTTGCATCCTAATCGGTCGTCCGCGGCACGCGGGACCAGCTATGGAATTCTCCGCCGATGGTCAAAAATTTTAGTACTTGACAAGGGCTGATTGGATCTTTGCTGTCGTCGATCATCATCACGAATGCGGCTGGCTCGGACACTCCATCCGCGTCGGCCGTATGCCGCGCGGGCGAGAAAAGTCCGCAGGGCAGATAGGTTTTCCGCTGTCGTCGATCATCATCGCGAATGCGGCTGGCTCGGACACTCCATCCGCGTCGGCCGTTTACCGCGCGGGTGAAATTCACCAGGCCAAGATTATGCAAGACACGGCTCCTCCCACATAAATTGCCGTTTGGTTTGTCGATATGAGACGCATGCGAATGATGGGATTCGACGGGGGCACGTCTGTGCGCAACCAGGCTGGCGAGAAGATATTGCACGCGCCTAAAAAATGGCCCGAGCACAATTTGGTAGGCGCTTGGCCTCCGGATAGCGGATTGCACGAGTGGCCTATCATGTGTGCGGTCGAAATCAAGCGGATTGAATTGTATCGATACCACTTTTTGGACGACCATGTTGCGTTTGCCAGTTTGGCATAAGCAGCATGTCCCAGACTTCCGCTGGAACGTCTCCTGGCGGGGGTTGGCGCTTGCGGCGAGCTTGGTGTATGTTCCACGAAAATCGCCGCAACTAGTCCAAACAACCAGCATAGTGCCCTGTGCTAAGCAGTTGCGAATTTTGGGGTTGCACGGCAGAAAACAGACTCTTTGTCAGGGAAAATTGCGCACTGTGGCCACCCAGCGGGGCGGTGGTGGCGACGTGCGCTGCTCATTCATTTCAAGCTGGCGTTCTCGCGCTGACGGCGTTGACGATCTTATTCTTGCGTCTTCGTTTTACGGTTGGAAACATGACGCGCCAATCGCCCACGCAGTGACGAGTCCTTGGCTTACCACCGTGGTCTCGAGGGTATCGATCCGATCAGCCAGAAGTGCCGCACGGCGATGCTTGTCAGCGATCTGGACCGTTCGAGTCGTTTTTTCATCCGCCGGACAGCAGCATGCCACGCGTGACACAACATGAACATGTGGATGTCGCATGAAATCGCGTGCTGCGGGCGATTTCAGCATTCACTTGCTTGCGGTTCTTCACATCATTCGCCCCGGATCTCTTCCCGAATAATTCGACAGCAGATCTAAAAACCGCGTTTTTGAGTTCTCTCCGGATGTCATCCAGTGATGTGGGGTAGCCGCGCGCATTCACCCGCCTTTCTCACAGGGAGTCGACATCCGCCAACAAATGTTTGTTCACACTCGAGCTGGCTAAACGGGCATGCGAAGTCACATCAACATCCCATGTGTGCAACAAGGGTCGAGACACATGACACGGAGACACATCAATTTATATACAGACAGGCTTGTGGTCTGTGCGTGCGGCACTGTGGACCACTTACAATATGCCTCCAAGCAACACGCCGACATAGCAACCCCTGATTTTAGAGAGGTGCGACTGCGAATACGTAACTAATCGATGTGAAATGTGGACGGGGAGAGACCGTGCCAATAGGTCGGCCTGGCGTCCTAGAAAGAGTTGGACGCTGCCATGCCGAATTCTTCCAAGAAGCATAGGAAGGCCTGGCCCGCAGCGTTCTCTCTGTCCTGTTGGCAGCTCCCCACCGCCATAAACACTACGTGACCGGGCAGCGCCTCCTCTCTCGGGTATCCTAATTTGGCAGTGGCATCCGTGAGAAGAACAAGGGTGGTGCGATTGGGCATTTGCGAAAGTGCGGCGCGCTCCCAATTCAACGTGCAATGGACGATGTTTCGTTCGGTGCGCGGCCCTTGCCGGGGGGAGGTACAAATACAAAATACAGAAACCGAGAGAGGCACCTTATTTGAAGTGGACTAGCCCAGCACGGCCGCTGATTTTGGCAGCGGTGGGCGCGAGGACGGTGTGCCATGACGCTTCTGGGAACAACTGCTTGTCAGCAGAAGGCCAACGCCAGCATGCTTGTCGCTGCCTGGACGGTATCCGAACGATATGCACGAGAAGTTCTGAACTTGCGAACGCGTGACTGGCGAACCGAAAGCCCTAGCTCTAGTGCCTTGCAAACCCACGATGTCGAACTGTGGGAAGCCTTTGGCTACATCCTCCAGCCGACCAGGTCCCAGCATGGAGAGGCAGCTGTAGGAGGATATCCAGTGCAATAGTGGCCGGCACGACATGGCAAGCAGACGCAAGGCAGAGAGACGGGGGAACATGATAGACCGCCCCTGTCACGCAGGCCTGTAGGGGCTCGATCCCTCCCTCCCTCCTTCCTCAGGACCCGCGGGGAACTTCGCCGGAGGAGGAGGAGGAGGAGGAGGAGGAGCAGGAGGAGGAGCAGCAGGAGGATCAGGAAGAGGAAGAGTTGGAGGAGGAGGAGGAGGAAGAGGAGGAGGAGGAGGAGGAAGAGGAGGAGGAGGAAGAGGAGGAGGAGGAGGAGAAGGAGGAGGAGGAGGAGGAGAAGGAGGAGGAGGAGGGGGACGGGGAGGACGATGAGGACGAGGAGGACGAGGAGGACGAGGAGGACGAGGATGAGGATCGAGGATAGCGTGGGGTTGTTCGACATTTGTTGCCTCTGGGGGCTCCCGGGGCGCCTTCGTTGTTTCGGGGATCCGGCCAGAACGCGGGTTTTGATGACGCCTTTGTTTGTTTCTTAGGGGATTCAGGGAGCTGCGTGCATCCTCGGGGCTTTAGGGGCCCTCTGGAAGGCCTCTCGGTTCCCCAGGCCCCTCCACAAACCGTCCCGATCCGTTTCTTGGGCCGCGTCCGGCCATGGCCACGAGGGCCCTTGAGGAGGCCCAAGGAACGCGAGCGATTTCAAATTCCGTCAAGAACGAAAACGACGACAACGGCAGCGGCGGTGGCGGAGGCCGTGGCGGCGGCGGCGACGACCAATCCGACGTGGGAGGTCCAGCGCGGGGACATCATTTTCCTGCGCGGCGAGCTGGGTTCGGGGAAGACGTCCCTGGCAAAGGGCTTCCTGCGTAGGTTTTTCCCTATCCCTCCTCTATGTTTGTCTCTCTCTCTCTCTATCTGTCTCTCTCTGTCCCTGTTCCCTCGATACATATATAGATATATACTATACACTAGAACCATCGCGCGCGCTTCGCGCGCGCTCAGGTTCTAGCCCAGGCCGGGGGGGCGCTGGACGATTTTGGACAACGCTATCAAGCACAGGCGCGCGACGACATCTGAGGAGCTTCTGGGGTGTTCCGCATGCTTCGTCAACTGCCTGTTGGAGGCACCTCTTGGGTGCCTCTTGGGGGGGCGTCT